CAACAATTTTATTTTACATATATTCCATCTTCATTTTTACGAACAAAGCATTTCTCAATTCACCAAAAATAGACCTGGTTAAAAACTTTCATACCATATAAAAAACACAATATGTATGTGTATCAAACTTATATTTTGGTGTTAAAGGTTTATTATTAATTGCAAAAAACAATTGCAAAAATATGGAACTAAGTGTTTATTTTAAAATAGGCCTACTGTAAATAATTGAATTTGACTAACGCATGAGATCTAATAAAGTTTCCTCTAATTTATAAATAGGCTTATAAGTATTTAGCTAAGTCTAAGTCATTTGTCAGTTTTTTGTATTTATTTGAAATTGCATCAATTGTCTTAGTCAACTCATTAGTCATTATATTATTACTAAGCTATAAATAAAAAAATCACGTACATCTTGGCCTACAAATACTCTTTGTAAGGTAAGTTTTTTTTCCCCTAAGTGAGTAAAAACTCACTTCCTATATAATGACATTTTCACACTAGTTATATATATCTTCAAAATTTGTTCAACTATGAAAAAGTCACCAAGTCTAGCTGAAAACACATAAATGACGATATTTTTGAAATACAGAATAACATTTTTAACAATTTATTTTCTTAACTTTTTTCCTTGTAAATGTCAACAGTTTTTCACTTATTTTTAATAAAGATTATCACTTATAATTTCTCGAAAGAAGTCTAGATGTATGAGCTATGGAGAGCAGACAAGAGACATGCGTCACTGCCACAAAAACTCTTCTCTACTGACTACTGTGAATGAATGAATTGAGTGTTTATCAGTGTGAAGCCCCGCCCACTGTCTAACGGGACATGGGGGAGGAAAAGAGAAAGTTTGGCATAATTTGCCCTTGTTCACATGCCCTCCCTCACCTTAGGCCTATGTCGCTTGCAGATTTCCATTAGACAAGAGTGTTAATTATTTTAAAATACTGTAAATGTTTGAATTTGTCTATGATGAGATCTAATAAAGTTTCCTCTAATTTATAAATAGGTTTATAAGTATTAATCTAAGTTATTTGTCAGTTTTTGTATTTCTTTTTAAAAGCAATTGCAGCTGTAAGTACATAAAAAAATTACATACAACTTAGCCTACAAATACTTTTTGTAAGGAGAGTCTTTTTCTCTAGTGAGTAAAAACGATCGTGGTCAAGGAATGAACTGTGCTAAAACAGCACATTGTCAATGTTTACAAAAGTATTTTGACTGAAACCTGAAACCCTGGTATTTTTAAAGACATCGCAGAATAAGTCGCCGTCTGTGGAAAAAAGTGTGGCAATAGATAGGTTTTACTTTTAGCCTACAAGAAAGATTATGTTTTGGGACTAAAATCTCCAAAAGAGTGCTTTTAACAGACATTCGATAGTTTTATTTAGTAACAAAAGTGTGACTATGTTCCCGATGATACCAAGAGCAAGGTTCGGCAGAGTGGATTCACTGTGAACCGGCCTGCCTGGCCCTTATGCACGACGTCACTATATCCTCCGTGTAGGGGTGTTAACAATGGATCGGAACAATCGATGTTTTGAACCTGTCTGTAACCTAGTTTAATATACTTTAATACTCATTATTTATAAATAAAACACGTCCTACATATCGGATCTCCAATGACGATATTTATCGATACCCTTCCCACCCACAATAAGCACATAAAACAATGTCAAAGCAATCAAATCAAATCAAATCATTTATTGATCATGGACATTTACATGCATTGACATTGTCAGTGGAGCAGAACATAAAATTTCAATGTTCATTGTCTAAATAATCAGAGGTAACTTGGGCATGAGTCTTTGTTGTACAAATTCCTTTTAACTACAGGGTTAATAATCACAATAGAGTATAAACAATTTAACAAATGAACAATTAACAAAGTTGAAGAAAACAAAAATAGACTATATAGAAATAATTACCAGATTTGGATACAAAGTTACAGACTTATCACAGGTTGTTCTAGGAACTCTTCAATACTGTAAAAAGGATTTCTTAAGAGCCAGTCACTGAATTTAAAAAAAAAATATTTTTTGTGGATACTTATTTACATTGATAACTACCTTATTATAAGCTTTCTTACACATAACAACATGGCTATTTAAAGATTTGCTCAAACGAAGGTGCTGGTAACTCATTTGATGTCTACCACGAGTATTGTAGGGATGTACATCTTCATTCAGAACCATGACTGGTAGTTTTTTTAAAGAATAAATAACAAGTTCTAAAATATAAAGGTTAATAACAGTAAAAATCCTTAATTTAATAAAAACGAGAGGTCGTCCAGTGGTCGAAACTCGACCAAAAATATGTAATGTACTCACTTATCTATTTTCACCCCACACTGTAAATAAAACATGTGATTGGAGTTTCCTCCATTTGTTTTGATTTTCTGTTTATATTTCGTTGTTATTTCGTAACCAGCATAGCAACGCATAAGATCCATGTTAATTTTTTCAAATTTTTAAACTCATTTTTTGTGCTTATCTTTGAGCCTATTTAAATTTATAAAGGGATTCTGCACACCTACAGGAAAATAGCTTTCCAACGGTATGCGTAGATTTTCCCTACGATTCACACGAGCTGAGAAAAAAGGTTTTAAAGAAACATACTTGCCTATTAATATATAGATAGATAGGCCTACAATGTTCAAGATCAGCTGAACCATCAATAATTCTAACAGCTTTTTTTTTGTAATATTAACACTTCTTCAATTCTTGAACAATTGCCCCAGACAAGCAAGCAGTACTTAATTATTGATTGAAAAAAAAGCAAAATAAGCCATCCGGATATATTCTGGAGTTACACAGTATTTCAAACGCCCCAACAAGAAAACAACTCTAGAAAGTCTAGTAGTAACACAATCAATATGAGTATTCCAAGTAAGCTGTTGGTCAACACATACACCTAAAAACTTGGTACTGACAGCTGTTTCTATAGCTAAAGATTCATGGTCATAAGGCCTCAAAGAGAATACTATATTTTCAGTTTTATTTTTATTTAAGAGATAGCCATTAGCTCTAAACCAAGATGAAGCTTCTTCTATAGAGTTATTTACCAAATTACTTAAATGCAGCAAGTTACTGGAAGTGTTAACAAATGTCGTGTCATCAGCGTAAAGAAGGGTTCTACATTGCACATTATGAGGTAAATCATTAATACTAATTAAAAATAACAGAGGGCCCAAAACTGATCCTTGGGGAACACCATATTTCAAATAAACCTCTTGAGACTGAACACCATCAATATACACAACTTGTCTCCTATCCTTTAGATAAGATTCGAAAAGTTGCAAGGCAACACCCTGGATGCCATAGAAGTGCAATTTTGAAAGAAGGTCTGAGTGATCAACACAATCGAAGGCTTTACTCAAGTCACAGAAGGTAGCTTGAGCATAGGACCTCGCCTCAAAAGCCTGCAAGATTTGGGAAATGAGATCGTCCATGGCATCCTGGGTAGCCCTGCCCCTTCTAAAGCCAAACTGAGAACTGTACAAAATTTCATTTTCCTCTAAAAACAAGATGACCTGATTGTAAACTATTATTTCTATAATTTTTGACAGCACAGGCACAAGAGACACAGGACGATAGCTTTCTGGCTTATCTTTAGGCCCCTTCTTATAAACAGGACAAACCCTAGAAATTTTAAGTTCATCTGGAAAGTGACCTTCTAGTAAAATACTATTGATGCAAACTACAAAAGGGGTAACAATACTTGGAATTATTTGCTTTAACAATTTATTTGACATGTTATAATAATCATTACTGCTCGAGTTACTGAGATGCTCTACTGCCTTTAGGACATCTTTATTTGTGACAGGTTTCCACTCAAACAATCGTCATATGCTCCATTGAAAGACAAAAGTCGATTGGCTGACATGACAGTGCATTGTCCCTCCTGACCAATGAGAACTGTTGTTACATACTTTTATTGTCAACATTCACCATTCGTTATAACATTACAAAATCGACATGGACTAAGGCTTATGCTATTTTTCAATAAATACATTATGTTATAGTAGCACTTAAAACTTCACTAAACTCTTTAATCAGGTAGATAGTACAGATACAATATAGATCTACTTTTTGGTGCAATATAAAGCAAGCCTAACCATAGGACAATAATGATATTAAAGTTTAATGGTTGAATATAATTTTTCTAATGATGCGTATAATGCAGGGATGAAACTGAACATTTCGACTTGTTTAGGTTATTTATTTTGTACTAAAAATAAAAATAATACACCTAAATGTCTGACTTATTGATACAGGCATTGTTTAGTACCTATAATTAATTTTGTGTTGGCAGGACATTCACGTGCCGGTTGTCTCTAAAGTTGAGTCCGACATCTTGAAATGTAGATTGTGTTGTGCAATGAGCTGAAGCTAAACAATGTCACCGGCACCGTCGCTGTTTTGCACTATGAAGTATATAAATGTTAAAATTAAATATTTATCCCTTTCGGGTGTCGGCATCATCGGAATCGACTTTTGACAATCGAACCGATACCAATGTCCAAGTATCGGTGGTATCGATCACGATAATCGACACATCCCTTTTTAGAACTGCATCATGACGTAATCGGGATTTCGATGCATGCTGGATCGAATCGGGATTCGATGCATCGCACTCGCACACCACTACCTATTACCCAGTGTCAGCTGTCGCTGTCAGTGAAATGGATGACACAAGCGATGTGTAGGTTGCCGATTATTAGTAGGCCTAGTAGGCGTTCGTTATGTCAATATTTAAAGGGGTTAAGGGATTAAACAAAACTCAAACCTTTTCCTTTCTTGTTATTTATTTGTCAAATATCAATGAAAATAACGAAATCAGCTTAACGTCTACTACTCGACTCGAGTCGCGAGTATCTTTAACTACTCTACTCGACTGTCGAGTATTGTCAACTACTCGAGTAATTACTCGACAGTCGAGTACTCGCCCACCTCTATTAATTAGCTACATAGCCAAGGTGGTGTGTTTGTATGTTGTAGGTATCACCGCCCCAGAGAAGACCCAACACCTGTTGACTCTCGATGGCTACCGTTTATTGCTGAGAATCTCCTTGTCTACTCTGTAATCTTTCATCAGCTGATAGAACGTTTCAAGATGATCGATCTAGCCAGTCCAAAAAATGCTCACATGCTTTTTAGACTTACAAAGGTGAGATTTTAAAATATTCACCATAAAACAGTTTTATCTAGTTATTGAATATACCCACTAGTAATTTTTTAAATGCATAGTACCCTAATCCTAAATGAGGATTATTCGTATATCAAAGGAAAGTATCCACCAAGCTCCCATCACAGCCAAGCAAGATAGTCCAAATCTGAGATTTGTTCTTTACTTTATCATCTACTACTCCAGCCAGGTCCTACCTCTTAGTCACATCACAGTATTAAAAACTTGTTAAAGAAAATTATTGCTCTTTCAAGTATAAATCTGGTAAGATATCAGTGGGCTCAGTCGTCAACCGCCATTGAAGCCATCGCCAGTTGGACTGCTATTAAAGCCAGACCAACGTGAATGCAGTTAAGTGTTTAGACTTGGAGAATATGTATACGGGGTCGAGGGAGTTTAGACTTCGAACGGGGTCATAATCATTTGATCAATTTTTCCTCACATCCTTTCCGGCTACTATGATGAGATTAATGACTAAGTAAAGAACACTAGGTTGGTCTTGGTAATAAGTAGTTTACTTGGTCTCGACTGATGTTGGAATTATGATACAGTAGATCTATAATAAAACAGTGATTTTTGTAAAAAAAATTGATTTAAAAATACACAATTTTTTTTATGTTAAAGAATCTGTTGACGATAGTTATTCATGCATGGTACTAGTGCGCAAAATGGCACTTTGCTGAACATAAGATAATTGTTTACTGGAGTGCAGTGAAGAGGCATTGTGCTTGTGTTCATGTTATACATTATATTAATTTTACTTTAAAGCAGATAAATAAATGGCTCACAAATAGTGATGGGTCTGGACCGGTTCTTGGCAAAAGAACCAGAACCGAGAACCGATGGTGAAATGTCGGTACCGATAATGCCAAATAATTACCGGTATCTCGCGGATTATGACGATGATGTTACCGTGATCCTGGCATACAATGACATCTACATGGCACCAAGAGATGTTCATGATTCTGCTGCGATCGTGGACGACGACGGCGAAGACGTTTCCGTGACCGCAGGAGTCTATGATGTTGTCCACACGGCCGCGGGAGATGTTGAAGATTCTGCCGCGATTGCGGGAGACGATGATGACGTCTACACGATGACGTTTCCGTGACTGTGGGAGTCAATGATGATGTTTACATGGCCGCAGAAGATGTTTTTGCCAAAATCGCAATTGCGGATCACGACGATGACGTTACTGCGATCCCGGGAGACGACGATGAAGTCTACATGGCCCCAAGAGATGTTCATGATTTTGCCGCGATCGTGGATGACAACAAAGACGTTTCCGTGACCGCTGGAGTTCATGATGTTGTCTACATGGCCACAGGAGATGTTCATGATTTAGCTGCTGTGGTGAGTGCACCAATACTGTTCAAAACTAGCTGGACAATGATTTGATTTTAAATAGTATAAATTTTGTTTTTGTTTATTCTAATAAGCTTTCATAGTCACCAAATGAGTTAATTCCTGGTTTTTGTAATTTATACACTGATGTTTTGGTCGTACCTATTAAATTCTAATTTCTGACAGTTTCTTAAATCATTTTATCATAAAAGTTACGAACATAGCTAAAGAAGAACCTACTTCTTCAGTGGTGACTCCGACGTGATAATTTCTTACCAAAATTTAACAAAACTACAATACTGTACAATGTTTACTACTCAAGAAGGTAACTCCATAGAACGAATTACTGTGAAGATTCCACAATTTTGGCCAGCAAATCTTGAGCTGTGGTTTGCGCAGGTCGAGACCCAATTCTCCTTGGCTCGGATCACATCTGAAACAAAATTCTTTTATGTTTGTGGAAACCTGGATGGTTAATACGCTGCTGAAGTGAGAGACATCCTCACAAGACCACCAGCCGAGGGAAAATGTGAAAACCTAAAAGCAGAATTGATACAACGCCTAAGCTCTTCACAGGAACAGAAGACCAGACGTCTCCTAGGTCATGAAGAAATGGGAGATCGAAAGCTCTTACAGTTCCTCAGACATCTTCGCACTTTGGCTGGTACTGTTGTGTTTGACACTGTGCTGAAACCTGTGGTTGAGTCGTTTGCCTTCATCCACTCAAGCCATTTTAGGAACACAAAAGTCGTCTGAGCTTGATGTTCTAGCCGAGTTGGCTGACGCCGTGCTTGAAATTAGCCCGCGACATCAAGTTACAGAAGCAGCTGTCCCTACTAACAGTCCCAACTCCATGGAAGCAATGATGGAGCGACTGACGATCCTGATGACATCTAAAATCTGCGGAGTAATCAAAATCGTCGTCCAACATGGAGTTCAAGTCCGGTTCGGCGATCAAGATCACGCTTCAAGAGCATGATAAGAGACGATGTTTGTTGGTACCACAAGTGATTCGGTAATGCAGCAACTAAGTGCACCAGGCCTTGCAGTTTCCAAACCAACAACTCGGGAAATGATCTCGGGAGTCTCTAATGGCGGCCAGCAACTCCTCCGATCTACAGACTTCTCGCCGCCTCTTCGTCACAAACAACAAAACAACAGTTCCTTACTGACACTGGAGCAGATGTTTGTGTCTATCCTCGAAAAGTGCTTTCAGGTAAAATACTCAAATCTGACCATACACTATACGCAGCAACAACACCGAAATCACCACTTATGGGTTACATACCTTATCTTTGGAAATAGGCCTACATCGAACGTTTGTGTGGCTTTTTATCATAGCTGATTTTGCCTAATAAATACAAGCACTTGTAACTTGCATAACTATTTATTCATAACTGAATAGTAAATATTATGATATGAAAATTGTAAATAATTAACACATGGATTAATATAAAAAGTACAGAAGCAAAATATATAACAGTGGTCTCCCCCTAACAATGGTCTCCCCTTAAACTTTCGTACGTAACATTTGATCAATGTGGCGTCTCCAAATTTGTCCATCGTCCATCTTGATAAAATAGTGAATGTGACCGTCTCTACTTTGGACATTTCCGTAACCCCATTTACATTTCCCGGAATAGTTCCGTACTTGTACTCGTTCACCTGGTTTGAAGTATCTCACTATTCCTTTGGGTTGTTTTGTTTCTTCCTTTGTCTTAGGTAAGAGTAAACTTAAGTACGTGCAGATCCTTCTATTGAACATCAAGAAGTATGAGCTGTTGCCAGTTGAATTTGGAGCTTGGCGTAATTTCATCATCAGTTGGTGAAGCTTTTCTTCCAGTGTACCAGGCTCGTCTGACATGCATTTGATAAGTTTCTTTATCGTTTGTACGAAGCGTTCGACTTGGCCGTTCGAAGAAGGATGGTAAGGAGCTGTCATTTTGTGCAAAGTTCCACATTTCCTCAAAAAGTTACTAAATTCAGAAGAGGTGAACTGACGACCATTATCAGAGACTATAACACTTGGTAGTCCAGGGTGTCCACATTCTGGAAAGTCAGGGATAGTCATGGAAAGTCATGGAAAACAATTCTGGTCATTGAAAGTCATGGAAATAAGCAAAAGGTCATGGAAAGTCATGGAAATTCCCCATGATGGATGATTTGAGGGAACTATTCAATGCTCTAGTCCGCCGTAACTCCGACTACTGTAGCATTTTTCTGGATTTTTCAACAATTTTCGACAATTCAATTTATTACAGTTGTATTATTCTATGATTTTTGAGTTTGTATTAGTTCATTGTTGTACCATTGTACTCCATTGTTGTCTGTTAATACATATTTCAGTAGTTTCTGCAAAATCTAGGCAGTTTTATTTGTGTGTGTTTGTGTATTATTTTACTAAGAATTAAGTGAATGCACTGTTTTATGTCATAACTCAAACTCAACTAACTTTATTTACCTTTTTACAAACATAGAATAACAAATAAACATATGATAATAATTAATAGAAATTAACAGGTGTTATGAAATAAACTGTTCTCACAACATCCTCCCTTTTAAGTTTGAAAGTTCTTCAACCAGCTTGGTTTTTGTATATTTCTCTTTGGACGGTTGTATGGTTCTATTTGATGTGTATTTGCTGACAAATTTTGTTCACTGTTTTCCTCTCTTAAATAAGGGGCAAGTTTGAGGTGGAATCGATTTCTTCTCACATTCCTCTTATCAGTTTCAACAATATATGAACGAGGGCTGTCCAGGATTTTCACAATTTTGCCATGTCTTCTAAGGTCCACAATCCAAACTGGGTCTCCTATATGAAGAGGATTGAGAGTTTGCACTTTGTGCCTTCTATCATAGTTGTGTTTGTACTTCTCACGATATGTTTCTTCTCTCCCTTTAAGATCCTTTAGATCTGGTTTTCCACAAAGCAAATGTCCTGTCTGAGGCAATGTGCTCCGTAATCGCCTGTTCATAAGAAGCTGAGAGGGACTGAACCCATTCCAGAGGGGTGTCGTTCGATAGGCTAGAAGCGCTAAATAAGGGTCTTTCACATTTTTCTTTAGAATCATTTTGGCGATTTTCACTGCCGCTTCAGCCTCTCCATTGCTTTGGGAAAATTTTGGGCTACTTGTTACATGCTTGAAGCCATAAACTTTGGAAAATGTCTTGAAATCTGAATGTTCAAGGACTTGAAATTGAGACCCACAGTCAGACCTAATTTCTTCTGGAATGCCATGTCGACAGAAAAAGGCTTTGCATCTCATTATTACTTCTCGTGATGTTAATGACTCTAATTCAGCTATCTCAAAATATCTGGAGTAATAATCTGTCACAGTCAAAAACCAAACGCCTTCAAGTTTGAACAAATCCATCGCAAGTGTTTTCCATGGCCTGTCAGGGAATTGTGTGGGAAGCAATGGTTCATGACTGTTCCTTGAATGTTTAATACAAGTAGGGCATGATTTCACCATACATTCAATGGCTGAAGAAATTCCTGGCCACCAGACTGACTCTTTTGCACGTAAACGACACTTGGTGATTCCAAAATGACCTTCATGTACTCTTTGAAGTGCCCAAGACTGCAGAGCTGGCGGAATTACAAGTCTTGAACCTCGTAGTATCATCTCATTATCAAC